GCACCCTCCAAATGAAGCGAGCTGTGGTCAGGAGCATGTTCCGGACCGCAATACAAGTCTGTACAGGAGAGGAGGAGAAGAAAGAGTCCGTAGAAATTTTCCGGAAAATTGCTGAGCTCGCAAAACCCTGAAGGCATTCTGGAATTCGGTCACGAATCCAAAAATGAACCGCAGGGGAGAATGCGTGTCAATTACGCGCGAGCTAACCCCCTATATAAGGTTAGCCTTCCTACCGGAACCTGGATACGATCACGGGCGACAAAGCACCATATCGTCGAACGCCGGCTGATCTCGTGATCTCAAAGGTACGGTAGTTGGTTTTCCCTATGAATTATGTGATGGGTTAGGGGGTCTCGAAGGTCTCGTAGGGTAGTATGACATTTGATCGTTTAAATCATAAATTGATTTCCACTTCCAGGCTCCGAAGAAGGCAATCGTGCCGAAACGTTAGCCGTTCACTGTGTATACCAACCTCGTGTGAAGTTTGAAAGCATATAAATATATTAAATACTATTATGATACTCCGCCACAGCCTTCTGGAGGAGCGCCATCGAGAGATTCTGCCACGCGACCGTGAGTGGGTGCCTGAGTTCAGCGAGATCGTTGATTTCTCCGCCACTGTAGACCACCCTATTGAACTCCGCCCGAACCAGGTAATTGAGGGGGTTTGGGTCAGATGACCTGCTTGAATATTCCACCTTCCTCAGGTACTCAACGCCCTTCCATTCCAAGTAGGCAAGAGTTTTCCCAACGCCCTTTGATTCCATGTGGTGTCACCCAATCCTGTAGCAGTACAAAGTTTCCAAGAAGGTACGGGCGACGACATGTGGGGAGGATATTCTTCTCGAGTTGCTCGATGTAACCGCCAGCGCTCACCTTCAGTCCGGGGCCCACGAAGAAAATATCGGTCTCTCCATTCCAGGTACGTCCGGTCCCCACCATCAACTGGCGCCTTGGCGACTGAGGTGAAGATGATGTCCTAGACCGACGTTGTCGGAGCTGCTCGATGTTGGAGGTCTTCCAGATCGAGAGTACTGGTCTCCAGGTAGCTATCCATGGGTGACTCCATACTAGAAGTTTCGCAGCTGTTTGGAGGTGACATGATTCCGAAGGTCTTCTCCAGTCAGGTTGCGACTGGAGATGACTTCATATTTTGGTGTACATGAAGGTGATGGGCGAGAGCCAGCTCCTGCTTATAGAGGAACATCTTGGGTATCTTCCGCCCTGGTACTCGTATCCACGTTCTCTGTCTGGGCTGCGAAAACTTTGCTGATATGTGACTCGGTCGAAATGTTTTTTTGCCCCCCCCCCTGTTCTTGCACCAAAAACTGCATTGAAGTCCCCTTGGAAATCGTATGTCGTTTTGATCTTCGAGTCCGCTCCGATTTCTTCGCAGCAACGCTCAACTTCATCATCTTCTGCTGCCGCTGTGGGTGCATACACCTGCACGATTTTGAGCGTTCGTTTCCCCATGCTTTGTATCATGATTTTCAAAACAGCAACACGTGGGGACAAAAAATCGCAGGAAATGATATGCGGAACCATCTTCGTTTTCACGATAAAACCGACTCCGCCAGCTCTTGACCTTGACATATTGTCTGCACCTTTTCCCAAAAGAGTTCCTCCATCGCTCACCCACTTTGCCAAAACCTCTTTCGCTATCCTTGTTTCGCGGACACCGACGACATCAGCATGGATCTTGTTTTCCCAGTGCTGCAAGTATAGATCAACGACAGAATCCGTCGATGGTGTCCTCACATTGTGGGAGGCCAATTGAAAAAAAAAACTAGAAACTTGATGAAATGTCTATAGTCCTTATCCTGCTCCATCCTTACCACGAGGTGTAGAGTTGTTTGGGCATCTTCATACACCCATCTCGGGGCCAAATCTTCTTTCCTTTTCAAGGTTTTTGCCGATTTTTTTGCAGCAGTACATTCGGGTTGGCAGCCCTCTTGTCCTATAGCTGCTGTTTTTGCTCGATTGTTCGCGGCTGCTTATTCGATATATTCGCAGCTAACCGCCACACGGACGGCCGTTCCTCGATCCACAACCTGAGGACGCACCAGATGGCTCGGAGCATAAGCACACTGGTCAGCTGAATGTAAAGAAGACTAGGTTCCTGTTTAGGTTCAAGAAAGCTTGGAAGCCATCACAGAGCCTCTTGGCGAAAGCACACGAAGGGCGAGGACTTCTGCTATCGGGGGACGGTCGGTATAACAGCTGATGGTAGAGACCAAGCGGTAAAGCCTCGAATCAATGCAGGTTGGATGAAATGGAGGGAGAGAGAGACCTTCTGCGATTGGTGATTCTTGAAGACGGTTAAGAGCATAGTGAATTAAGCAGTGGTAAGGTCTGCGACGTTCTACGGCAGCGAGTGTTGGCCCATTTGCAAGAACCATCGAATTCAGTGCCACGTACAAGGAAAGGATGGTAGGTCGAAGTGGCCACTTGAATGTATACTGACTGAAGGATGGACGAGGATTACGGAACCGTCTTCCATATCTGCTGCGGACCTCCCACAACAAAGTTACGGGGCCATTTTACTGGAGCATAGTGGCATTCAATACGGATTAGCAGCGTGAGACTTCACCGGTAAAGCAGCGTGGCTGAGTGGGTACGCGATCACACTGTCGAGGCTTCCTGCTGCGTTTCCTGTTTTGCATTTTTTCTACAATAGTCGCTGCGCGGGCACGAGGTGGTGTAGCGACAAGTGGCGCGGTCCTGGGTTCAATTCCCGGGTCGTCTTCCCGCCCAGGCCAACCAAGCCTCCTACCCTCCGGGGACGGTATTGGTACCAGATTCGTCTGGGAGGATAAAACATGACTTGTACATCGGCTGGCTTCCGCAAGTCATTGTATAGGCCGCATCGCATTTATGAGAACTCACTACCGCACCCCACAGAGGGATTGATCAACGGTGAAGAATTTATCCTTTTAGTCTCTGTGCATTAGAAAACATTTTCGCAAAACCCTGGGGCTCAATAATGCCGCCAAAGAGTGTTTCTGAACGAATGGAGCCATTGTGGACGATTCCATGCCGAACATTTCTTGGGACACCTACATATTTACCCTATACTGCGCCAGTCACCCGGAATCTAGCCAATTTTTGACCGAGTTTTTTCTTCGGGCTCGAATGTTGTCTCCTGGGGTAGTTCAACCTCCTGAATACGAATAACACATCCGCTTGGCCGAAAATCTCTTGGCGCCCGCGGTACAGGCGCCGGTGATTTGGAAGTATTTTGGCGTAGGCGCCTGCGGCGCGAGCGCATTAGGTTTCGTGTAGAGCGCATGTGATATTCGAGGAGCTCAAACTACTCCAGGGTACAAATGTTTGACCGATTCTGCCTATGGAAAGAGTCGGTCAAAACTAGCCAGATTTTCGACGATTGGGGAAGTAGGATGAACAGTGCCCATTCTTGGCTGTTGATTTCTTCTTTATTGCTCTAAGAAGCTTATTTTTGTACAAAAGGAATGCACTCCAACGAATGCCTTGCCTTGAAGAATGGCTTTATTCTCCGAACAACATGGCTGTGTCCGAAACCACACGAAGTTGTGCGTAAAGATGAGTATCATTGGAAAGGCTTTCCCACGACGTGGCTTTGACGTGGCAATCTTGCGGAGATCACAATGGGAGAAACCTTCATTCATCACTCCCATAGTGTTGAAAGATGTTCTATCCCAAAGTGGTGCTTTCGCACCTGCTGGAATTCTGTGACAAATTCAACAGCCAAGAATGTTCTGCATGGAGCAGCTGTTCACAATGGCTCCATTAGTTCAGAAACATTTGGCGGCATTTTCGAGCACAGGTGTTACGCAAAAATGCTTTTTAATGCATAGGCACCATTGTTGAAAAAATGCAAAACAGAAAACGCATAAAGAATCCGAATGTGGCCGCGAGACCTGCAATGTATCCACTACGCCACGCGGCTTCGAGCGCTGAAGCCTCACCCCGCTAATTCGTATTAAATGCCACTATGCCAACCCCCCCCCCGGAAAAGGCTTTGTTCTAAGAGGTCCGCAGCAGATATGGAAGACGGTTTCGTAACTCCCGTCCAAAGACCTTTCAGTCGGTATACATCTCATTTCAAATGGCCACTTCGACCTACAATCCTTCCCTTTTTAGCTGAGACAAATTCGTGAGATGGGGCTACAACTAAACACGACTAGATAGAGTCAGAAAGGAGCACTTCAGGGCGCTCACAAAGACGGCTTTGATCCAGATGAAGCACGTTAACAGCGACTGCCGTGGCCCTTATTGAGGAGGCCTGAGCCAAGCGATAAGGAGGCGTTGGAAATTGAAGTATCGGGCAAGGGACCACGAGGAGCTCCAGAGCAAGAATGGAGGTCATTAAGAATTGCCTCACTGGAGTGAATGCCACAGCAGTGGATCGGAATATATGGCAACGTCTAAACTTCTGACGAGAACGCGGACCCTGGCAACTGGTGGGATTGATGCTGGGGAGAAGAAGAAGATGCTGGAGTTACGACAAAAAGAATTCGTTTTCTGATTTCGCCTTCTGGTATCGAACAACACCAGCTCTTTTCCTTTATGGTGTCACCCTCATCGTCCACAAAAAAAGTAGCAGGTAGCGGATTAAGCACAAGTTAGCCACTAGGAATGAACGTTGGGAGGAGCGTGAATCAGTAGGTGGAGCAGTGCCTTCATCAAGAGCGTCACATGATTTTAACCGGCTTGATTTTGACTTGACAGGAACATACAGGTATCACCAGGATGAGACGTGAAATCAGACATGAATTAGAGAAAAACTAAAACTAGCGCGTTGCCAAACACCCCTTCCCGCTGAGCCAAGCAGCGAGCACCATCGACATTCTTGTTTGAACTCACAGCCCATAAGCAGTGGTCGTGGAGCGTGCCTTCAGACTCGTGTTTGTTTGATTTCATGCATGCTCCCAGCCTCGTTACCCATCTACTGTTTTCACGTGACCGTACCCCGTTTGATGTGAATTATTTAGTGTTTTGGACGAAATCCTTACGGGTGTATGCCAGGTTTCTATAAGGTTAGTAATGTTCTGGCAAGTTTTGATGTTGTATGTTCAACCCTCTAACCACACGATGATCGTAATTGCAAAGTTTTCAGTGTTACGGAGATGTTATAAACTGCATGGCGACGTGGGAAACTTACGGATGGGAGCGCTTACTAAAGTTGTTGACCGTACTGTACAAAGACGAAACTATAGGCGGGGCAATATTTATGGCGGCTGTAAGTACTGTTGTTTCTTAGCCATGAACAAATTCCGTGCGAATCATATTTGCACGTTTTCTTTGAATTTTCTTCTTTTTCTGCCAATAAACCTTTGCGCTTTCGACTATTACTGCCCCAATCTTCCGCAATTGGACTGGTTTCATCAACGAATCATTCGAGGCACCTTGGGTGAACATTTGTTTCTAGGGGCAGTTCGACCGCCTGAAGACGAGTATCACTTCTGCTTGGCCTGAAACTGCTCAACAGTCTCGTACCTGCGTCACAGGAACCGGCATCAGAGGGCCCCTTCATCAACAGGTTCACTAAAAAACTTGTCCCCTTGCGTAGGGGCGGCTATGAGACACGAGACAGTGCAGTCTGTCATGTTTGTTCGACCCTTTTCCTGAGATAGCGATCCCTTCGTCTGATGAGACCACCCAAGACGGGAGACGCACAACAGAATCGTCCGACGCAGCGTCCGCGGCACGCGGCGCGTGTGACTCAGCAGCTCACGGAGGTGCATTTGCTAGCCGATAGCTTTGCGACTGGAGCAAATGATCTACTACAGCGTACATCCGCAACGTTTACCAGGTTCCATCAATAATTGAAAATCTAACGATGTTTCTCTTGATAGTAACACACAATTGTCTGGCGGATCCATAGACGCAACTTCAGGAAATAAACAGATACAAAAGAAATCAATAAGTGTTATTCTCTATGTTTATGTGATTCACATGATACACGCAATCGTCGTTGAACTGCTGTAAAAGATGACATACCAGAGCAAACGTTAAAGACCTTAATGAAGCTCTAGTGAACTTTTTCATTCTCCATGGGAAAACCAAGCAAAAACTGAAAGCTTGACCGTAACTGAGCACAATACTCAATCCTGGGTGATATCAATCTTTACCGTCCCTTCAATATCCCTATTCAAACGGCCAGACGCAAGATTTGTCCTCTCGCCGCAAGTATGTCGCAGGCCACGTCCACCAGCTGCACCGGACGATTTTGTTGCTACGCACTATACCAAGTTGACCACTAAAGGATAAAAGGATAAAGTCTTCGCCGTTAATCAATCCCTTTGTGGGATGCGGCACGCATTCTACTTCCATTCAGAATCGTAGTGGCTTATTGAATGCGATGTGGCCTATACAATGACTTGCGGTGGCCAGCCGATGTACAAGTCAGTGTTTTATCCTCCCAGACGAATCTGGTACCAATTCACCGTCCCCGGAGGGTAGAAGGCTTGGTTGGCCTGGGCGGGTGTCGACCGGGATTCGAACCCAGGACCGCGCGAGTGGTAAGCGCGCCACTTGTCACTACACCACCTCCGCCACAAGTTGACCACTATCGCAGACAACCACGAGAAGTATTGTTTCCTCCGGCTGTGTTTCCCTAACTGCCCTAGCTTGGCAGGAAACAACCAGGAGTCCGCGCTACACGCGGTACAGTGTGAGGATATGCTATCGGTGGTAAACCCCGTAATTATAGTCAGATAGAAATTGACACTAATTGTGATCCACTGAAGTAAATTGCTTCGCATTGCTTTATCGTAAGACACGCGCTAGTGTGCCACGGGTAATGTTTCAGCGGAAAAATTCAGTTTTTGGGGCAGTAATAGTTGACTAGTACCGAAACATTTTGTCCCTCAGCGCCGACTGAAAGCATCTTGATATTTAGGCTTATGATTTGGTGGTGTCATTCGTTGGCGAAGAAAAAGATAAAGACAATTTGTTCAAAGAGTAAGCTCGCTCTTGTTCATGGCTATTCACGTAAAAATATTTTACCTCTACAACATCGTTAATAGGTTTGCCTGATTTCAGAATCCGCAATCTGTGGGATCATGTTGTGCGTGATGCATGGTTTGAAAAGGATATGATCAGCGAGATCGAAGCCTTCCGGCTGTTATAACACTTTTCATAGACACTGAATTAGTCCTCGAGTTTCAGCATAGTAAAACTCTGTTCCTGCATGGATCCGTTTCAAAGGCACGGTATGCGATAGACTAGGGCTACAACCATTATGGCTGTGCGTGGCGGCCAAGTGGGCAGCCGCAGAGGCTGACTGGCAAGCAAAGAGTAGGGCACACAGGTTTAAGGCTCATGGGCGCCCAATAGGCGCATTCCGGCCTACGCTGTCAGTGTCATTGTGACGTTGCCATTGTGCCCGGCGTTTTGTAGTCTCTTGCCTCTCTTGTCAGCGTATCGTCATCTTTTGCAAATCACAACTGATCTTGACCAGCTTATTTGCCCGGTTATCACAATAAGATGTAATAATGTGTTTAGTAAGCGGTTTTTCGTTCTCATCTTTTTCAGTAAGTGCCAGCACATGGCAATTTTTGTTTTTGAGCTGTATTACCTAATACGTGCAGTCGCGAGAATCACTCTTAAAGGCAGGTGGGCATAGAATCCTAAAAGCTAACAGGATTGATACGCGGAGGGCGGATTTCCGCGTCTCAGCAGGTGCTGTGTAGCGGTTTCTCCTATGGAGGTACCCTTATAAGGGTCCTATCAAGCTACAGCATACCGACCCAAACGCCCGCCCGCCCACAAATGGACGACCTTACCAGATGCTCGTTTTGCTTCATTTGCTATTAAAATATGAAGCGAAGGGAATGGTATGAAGCGGCTGCAGTGCTGAATGGATATATGAGTACATACATGCAGCCGTACCTACCGGAGCGGTTATTTGCAATACGCCTACGGGAAACTCGTCCGAAATCGCCTTTCAAGAGCAGATGCTTTTCTACGCAGTTTTCGTGACAACCGCCTTTATGAACGCACCACGCATTAGACTCTTCTTCTTCTGCCTAGCGTTAGTCCCGCGCCGTCGCAGGGTCCGCTGTTCGTCGCCACTTGTTCCGATCCACTGCATCTTCTGCCGTGGCTTTCACTTCAGTGAGGTCCTTCTTGATGACGTCCCTCCATCTTTTCTTTGGGGCTCCTCGTGGTCGCTTGCCCTCTGCTTCGAATTCCAATGCCTTCCTTATTGGGTGGTCCTCAGGCCTTCTCAGTACGTGCCCATACCATCGCAGTCGCTGCTCTCGTGCCTTCATCGGAGCGATACATGTGACCGCCCTGACGTCCTCGTTTCTGACTCTGTCGAGTCGTGTCCAGCCGCAGGCCCATCTCAGCATCCTCATTTCAGCTGAGTGGAGCTGCCTTTCATGGTTCTTGCAGATAGGCCAGCACTCACTGCCGTAGAGCATTGTAGGCCTTACCACCGCCCGGTACACCTTGCCCTTGAGCGTTCTCGAGCACCGCCGGTCGCACAGGATGCCAGTGGACTCCCTCCATTTCATCCAGGCTGCGTTGATTCGGGCCTTCACCGCCTGGTCCACGCTGCCATCAGCTGCTAGGTCGCTCCCCAGGTACTGGAAGTCCTCGACCCTTTCGATGCTCTCGCCGTGACGGTCTACGATGGGTTCGGTACACTCTTCAGAGCTCAGGAACTTGGTCTTCTTCGTTCAACCGGAGTCCATTCTCAGCGAGCACATCCTGCCACCGCTGCACCTTGTCCTGGAGTTCTTCCCTGCTGTCCGCTATCAGGGCGATGTCGTCAGCGTAGAGGATGGTTTTCAGTGGTCCCTCCATGAGTTCTTTTGCCATGACATCTAGAGTCAGGAGGAAGAGGAACGGGCTGAGGGCTGATCCTTGGTGTACCCCAACCGTGATGTTTACCTCCTTTCGTCAAGCCGTGCGGGGTGCGTACAGCTGCTTTAGCCCCATCGTACATATCCTTCACTATGGAGACCAGGTGCTCCGGAACGTTACGTTCTCTGAGCGCTCTCCAGAGTACAGGCCGAGGCAGGCGGTCGAATGCCTTCTCAAGGTCCAGGAAGGCTAGGTAGCAGGGTCGCCGCTTCTCTCGGTACTTCTCCATCAGCTGTCTGGCGATGAAGATGGCATCAGTGGTGGACCTTTCGGGCATGAAGCCGAACTGTTCCTGCGAGATAGGGACAAGTTCCCTCAGCCTAGTGTTGACCAGGCGCTCGTACAGCTTCATGGTATGGGGAGTCAACTTGATGCCGCGGTAGTTGGAGCACTCCGTCGCGTCCCCTTGAAGATGGGGACGATTGTGCTGCTCCTCCACGCATCTGGCATCCTTCCTTCAGCCGTTACATTGTTTAGGAAGTCTGTTAGCCAGCTCAAAGCTCTCCCGGGGCCTCCCATGCCTCTATCGGAACTCCGTCCCTTCTTTTACAACGTCCGTGAAGGCGAGAAAAATCAACTATCAAAATAAATTTTTCTCAGCCCAAATACGACCCCTCTCCTGGCGGCCAAATACGACCCCCCTGTTGAGAATCCTCAACAACGATGTTCCCTGGCTCAGGATGCGTTTTGAAAATTTTAATCCTGGGCAAACCGGCAAAATTTTAATCCTATTTGTGACTTTTTATGATCATTACCAGCTTGGCTGACGCGCACTACTGCGCGCATGGTTGAATCTATGGTAATGGTACTAATCGCTGACAGGATTCCTGTGCTGACCCCGAACACTGGGCCCGAGCGCCATTTTTTGAAATACGGCCCATTTCATTATGTTTCTCCTGTTTAATGAACATTTGCTAATGTCTGGTGCTTATCACATTTCTAAAGAACACTCACCATTCGTTGGAAATAGGACAGCTTAGCGGTTGAAAGAATTTCGATGGTAATAACATGGACACCATAGTGATATATTCTCACATCCTAGTACTTTCGTTAAGCAGCTTCCAAAGCTTTTAATTTTTGTCGACTCTCGAGTGTTTAGCGGTCGAATCAGTCATAACCCTATCGCTAAGGGATGGAATAAGTTGACTCATAAGCCTCTGCCCATTGTTTCGTGGGCACCGGTGCTCAAGTTCAGGCTGAGCAGTAAGGATGCGAACAGGTACTGGTGCTTATCAGCCCTTTTCTCACACTATATACAACTTATATCCCTTCACGAATGCTCTGTAACCCCTTCTGAATGACTTGCCGGAAGCAGTTCCCCCAGTGCTGCTACAACTCGTGCTATGAACTTCGGGGGCGTCCTCTGCCGTCTTGCCACCCAATAATAATTGTCCCATCCTGATCCTGATCTAACTTCTTGGAACCAACGTCCCATCGCTGTTGTGGCCGGCGCTATAGAGTTGGTGACCTTTCCCTTCTAAGGCTCCTCGTGGTATCTTATCAGCTGTTATCACTTCCTGCCACCCACCAATAATGTTCCCATCCTGCCCCCTATCTTACTACTTGGATCCAACGTCCGGTCGTTGCTCTGGCCGGTGTTATGAATTAGGTAACCCACCCTTCTAAGGCTCCTTATGGTATCTTATCAGCTGTTATCACTTCCTGCCACCCACCAATAATGTCTGCCCCCTATCCCAGTGCTTGGATCCAACGTCCGGTCGTTGCTCTGGCCGGTGTTATGAATTAGGTAACCCACCCATTCTAAGGCTCCTTATGGTATCTTATCAGCTGTTATCACTTCCTGCCACCCACCAATAATGTCTGCCCCCTATCCCAGTGCTTGGATCCAACGTCCGGTCGTTGCTCTGGCCGGTGTTATGAATTAGGTAACCCACTCCTTCTAAGGCTCCTTATGGTATCTTATCAACTGTTATCACTTCCTGCCACCCACCAATAATGTTCCTGCCCCACCCCCTACATCACTTATCAATTTGAGCGCTTTATCGCTTTGAAGAAAGTTATGAATTTCCGGTCAAAC